TTCCTACAGTAGCAATGCTATTAACCGATACTTGTTGTTAGTCATTTTAAGTCTGTAATTTACATACAAGTCATTATAAATCCTATGTCATCCCATATAATAGCCCTATAAATACACTTAATGTGATCATTAATTATTCATTTAAATAATTTGAAAAGCAATTTCAGCATTAACAGTTTGCCCTTCAGGAACAATACACGCTTGTCACTTGTCTTATCGGGGTATTGAAGCCATGTTCCACATTGTGAACGATTATTTGAACAACATTTAAAATAAAGCTTTCCATTATTCACCAGACAGATGGAATATGTGTACGGTGGTCACACACACACAGCCCAGGGGCTTCCCACAGGACAAACATGAGTATACCAACAGCCACGACATAATAATGACTATAACAAGATGAAGCAGTAAGCCTGATACAAACAAGTGAATTTATCTGTAAGTGGGTGAATCTCAACCAAACCTGGTCAGAACATGTTCAGGGCGTAATTCAGCCAATGGCGTGAGTTTGGGGAGGGGCTATCTGTTTGTTCAACCAATGGAAAACAGAGAGAGTGTTTGAAAACAAGCTTTATTTTTGCAATTTCATTAGGTTGTAATGGCAAAGAAATTACACATTTCAGCTGTAATTTAGGACCACTTTTAAGGATCTCATGATAATTCATATTAATTAAAAAATATTCACTACCTTACAAAAGGTTGATGGATCTGGGAATGAGTGCAGTGGACTAGAGGGAGGAGAGGAGGATGTTAGCGGATGGTTAGAAGCATCACAACAGCGGTCTCTCAGGAAAGGACAGAGCCGCTGTGAGTCACGTTAGCCCTGGAACAAATCTCTCAGTGTGCGCTGCTGTCACCATGGCCACAGTCACTCCTGCCCTCTGCTACATCAGCACCACCAGCACCCTCTGCCCTACCTCCATTTTAGCCCAAAATACTCCAGAGCAAACAGGACTGCCACATTTGGACGGATGTTGTCAATGCAACATTTGATTAAAAACAGGAAGTACTTCTATTCTATCATAGTGTTGCTATAGTGCAAATGTGAATTTCCACTGAAATGTGAAATATATTTTCGGCAAAGATGATTTTCAGAGAAATCATCATCCTTAAAGTCAACATGAAATTAAAATTGACCTTATTTGCTTTCTTAATGTGTTCCTGATCTCATTGTGCATGATTCATTAGCACACATTGTTCTACAGAAATGAGACATTTCATTATTCATTATTTCGTTTTCACATTATAAAATAAAATATTTGAAAACTTGACACTGATATGTCAACAGGAATTAAAAATCAACCCTATTTACTTTTAATGACTTTGAGGTTGTAAATAAAACAAAGATGACTGTAGTAGGTTTTACTAGAAAATACTATTTCAGTCCTTCTACTGCAATTTGTCATTTAATTCAGTATATTACTTATTATTTTTATAATTATTTGTGATATTTACCTGCAATTTCTGAGTGAAAATTGTTTCAAAGTACTAATTTAATGTCATCCAAATGTAAGAATTTCTTCCATTTCCTTTTTCCGCTGATGTCACATAATGATAACCGATAGCCAAACCAGCCTTCGATCTAGATATATCCACATTTCATAATTCACTTAATTCCAGGCTGATAAAACCAAGATTCACTACATTACTTCTTGAGAAATATCCTGTTTCAGAAATATATATATATATACAGAAAACGGGTTGCAAATGGCTTCAAATTCTGACTTTGACTTACTTAACAGTGGGACATGCAACTTAAACTTAGTTTGTTTAAATGACAAAAGAACAGTCATGACATATTCTGCATGTGGTGTATATAGTGAAGTCCAGGGGAAATGATAGGTCCCTCTATAAGAGCTTAAATTTTAGCGCAGGGATTAATGGGTGAGCAACTCATGCAGTATACTAAACCTAAGCATATTGCATTTCCAAAGAAACCCCTCACCCTCTATTTGCATCATTGTGAAACTGAGGACATTTGGATGTAACCTTGAAAAAAATTCTAAGTAAATCACACATCTATATTGACGCCACTGTTGTTTGTTACACTTCAAAGATGTCTACAGCCTTTATCAATCTCTCTCTGAACACATGCTGGGTGAGTAATGTATAGATTTCCCTCTGTGTGTAAAGATACATCTTCTGAGATTCTGCTTCAATTTGGCTGCCTTTGATTTCACTCTGAAAATGTACTGTTGCAAGTTTATTTCGAACTTTTGTTCAAGTGATTTTACAAAAGACTAACAGATGGAAAGTGCACAGGTATTCAAAGACAGAGAAAAAAAACCTATAAACTAATTACCAATTATCCCAAGAAAACGTTTTGTTTGAAACATTCTGATTAGAGAAAGGGAAAAAGGAAGAAGCACCAGTAATATTTCTTAATAAATTGCCAGGTTTTTTTTCATATTAGAGGTCAGTGCAACACATGGAGACATGGAAATATTACATCAAACCAAAAAAAGTTCACCCAGAAATGAAAATCTGCAGGCCATCCAAGATGTAGATGAGTTTGTTTCTTCATTGAAAGAGATTTGGAGAAATTTACCAAACCGTTGCTTCCAGCTAAAATACGAGTCCACTATTCATATTGATTTCTCCAGTGAAAAAGTAATCTAGTCTGAATCAGGAGATAAATATGCACAAATCAAGCACCATTTACAAGTGAAAACAGTTCTAAACAAATATGACGGTGGATTTTGATATGAGAGGACAACAGGAGATGAGACTTTTTCACTGGAGGAAGCGTTATTATGGATTATGGAGTGGCATTCTGGCAGAAAGCGAAGGTTTAAAGTTAAAAACCCGTAATAACGAATTTGTTTCTTACAAATATGACGCTTTTCACTTCACAAGACCTTAATTAATGGACTGGAGTGGTGTGGATTACTTGTGGATTATTGTGATGTTTTTATCAGCTGTTTGGACTCTCATTCTGACGGCACCCATTCACTGCAGAGGATCCATTGCTGAGCAAGTGATGGAATGCTACATTTCTCCAAATCTGATGAAGAAACAAACTCATCTACATCTTGGATGGTCTGAGAGTTCATTTACTTTTCAGCAAATTCTCATTTTTGGGTGAACTATTCCTTAATTTGCTAAATTGCAATATTGTACTAAAAGAAAACTAATCTTTGAAAATTTGAGTTTATATAAAATATTTTATCCAAATGTGACATGGACATGGAAATGTACTGCACCAGACTCTAGTGATAATCCTATTCCTGATTCCTGAATGAGTTCTGAACGATGGCCCAGACAGATAAGACATCAGCACCGGCACAAACCGATGATAAACACTCCTGCCGTTAAACCCTGTTTCTGACCCTATTCTCTCTCTTCCTCCTTTGCCACATCCCTCCTCTGAGGATTCCTCTCAAGGTTACTCTGAAAAGAGCACTGCAGCGCACAGAGCACACAATGATTGAGAAACAACTGCAATCCTGAGCAGCACCACCACTGACATGCAGAGACACCAGAAGCTGTCTACCACAAACAGCCTGCAAATCAATTCACATTAGGAGAAAGGGCTTCTCTCAAAGTCTTGCACATGTGTTTGGCCACTTTCGGATCGGATCAAAGTTACGATCTAGAAGTATGAAAACACAGTAGGTCATCCTTCCAATGACCTGTCATTGCACATCAAACTTTCAGACATCTGTAGCCTATATCACTTTTTTTCCTCTTAATTGTACCAACATAAAGCTGCATTATCAAATATACAGCTCTACATATAATATCAATACTAACTAACATAAATAACATAACATAAAACATACTAACAATACTATCAGATATAAAACACTAATATCAATCTTGCAATTCAAAGATATGCATATATAGCACTACTACCAACATTAAGGTTTACATAAAGGCTGCTATCAATACAGTAATACCATTGGAAATCTCTGCATACTAACAAGTACTAACAACATACAGCTTTGCATATTCCATCAAAACTGCCAAATATTATCTACTCTTATATAGGAATTGGTAAAGAGCACACTTATCATTATTCGCATGCAACAGTGATGGTTAGTTATTTCTTGCTGAAAGGCGTTATTTCACTGGAAAAAAAAACAGCAGTGATACAGGCACATGTAGATCCAGAACATCACTGTGAATTCAGACAAACCAAATGACACTTGCTGTCGGGACGAGACTGAATGCAATCAGCAATGGAATAAATCATCGAGGAGATTCTCACACACACACACACACACACACACACACATGTAGCAGGTTTCCATTCTTCATGTCTGCTGCAAGGTCATATTGATGCTTAAAGATATCATGCGCTAAAAATCTAATTCTAATCTATATTTCTCGTGTTTTATCAATTGTAGCAAGTATGAAACCCTATACCAGCCCAAAATCAGCCAGTGATGAAAATGGAATAAGCCCCGATCAGTCTTATTCTGATGGATATTAGGTGAAGGGGCGAGGCTTAAGGTGCCGTATGTCTCTATGGGAATATGGCTTTTATCAATTACTCTTTTAATCTATTCTTTAACCCATGGCAAATAGAGATTAATATACATACAGGAAATAAGCAATAACATATCGTTCTAGGTGCAAAATACAGCGCATTTCACCGAGAAAAAAAATCTGCTCACCAAAAAGAAAATAATTTTAGTGTCTTGAGATGATGCATGAGCCGTGTTAAATGATATATGCTGCCTTAAAAACAGATTTTACATAAATTACGTTCAGTTCTATAATTACAAATATGTATTTTTGATCAAGATTACGTTTGCATCCATCATTGATTTTCGCATTATTTTCCAAATGAATGAATCTCATGCCTCAAATATGGAATCAATTCAACATTTATAAAATATATAATATAAAATTCAACATTTAACATTAAAACACATACTCATACATAAATGAGGTATAATTAAAACGTGGATGAGAGTCTTAAATCATATATATACACACTAATTATAAATTAGCTCCAAAACACAAATTAATTAGCAATAAACGTCACTTACCAGTGCGATTCGGTTATTATTTTCCCCAAATGCTGGAATAATTGTGTATAAGATAGGTGAATTTTTAGTCGTGATGATGAGGAGGGCTGTGTGACATTGCCTGTATCTTCACCCTGTAAGGAAGGCGTGTGACGTGAGTGCAACCCTACTACACAGGCAAAATTAACGATTCCTACTATGGCGAACGCTTGACTCATTAATATTAATCGGCACGCTGACGTTGCATGGTAACCTTCCTGGAGCGTCCAGTTACGTAATCTAATTAGTATTCCTAGCCAAGCCTTCTCCGAACTAGAATTCGTTGATTGGCCAACCGACAAGCGCTCTATCGCCAACTTCTCCCTTTCAGCCAATCAGTTGGTCGAACGCCACGCTACGTCATTAATATTCATGAGACAAGTAGGATTCCTTCATTCGTCAGCTGACTTGCACTCTTTACGAAAGTCTGCCTTTCAGCCAATCGTTTAGGTTTACTGAGCGAACGTGTTGTTACGTAATTAATATTCATAAGCAAAGCCGTCGCCATAGTAGGATTAGCCCATTCGCATCCTGAGTCCCCTCATCTCAAGCGCATCATTCTCCAGTGTGCGAGCGAGCCGAAATTAATAGGATATCACCATCACCAATGCTGCAATTGAGACGCGTTTGTAATTATGATTAAAAAACGTTAAAATATGTTTAATCCACGCTGCATTCAGGTTTTATGGAAACGCGTGTTTTTCTCTCGGAACGGTTCAGTCGTGTTTCTTTATAAATTAACGTCATATTGTGTGTTTTACATATAAGCCTTTTAAAAACACGCAGTGAGTCTGAAATCACTGGTCTGTGCATGATTGCACACGTGCTCTAACTCGTGCACATAATTGGCCAAAAGGACGGAACCGTGATGCGCTTTTCCCTCCATCTCCATCAACTGTTATTAATATAAATTCCACGCAACCTGCCGTTATCAAAGGTTAAAACACTCTTGCCAATTAATAACTGTCTGCTCGAGGTAAGGTAGGACAGGTTTTTTAAATCGTTTTAGATGTCACTGACCCCCAAATATGATCATCATCCCCGTGCAAAAGACCCCATCCTAAAATTTAAAATGCAGATATGTATTTTCATGTATAAAGACTCAAATGTATACTGTTAAAATTTAATAACTATAATATTTAGTACTCACTATAGTACGGTTGTACAGTACTTGTCTTATTGATTGATTGATTGACTGATTTAAATCAAATGAATATGCCTATTTATTTAGTTTAATTATATACTTTTTTACACAGTTTTCCACTAACCTTTTTCCCAGACGCCAGTTTGAAAACTCCTGGGATAGTGGACTATCAAAACACAATCACATTCCCTTCTAAAAATAAGCCAAGATTTATCTCAAGAACCTCTTAGTAAAAAGCCACAAGGCTGTAATTTTTGACAGTGACAGTGTTTTGCAGTGACAAGTCAGATCTCAATTATTTTTGTAATGATACTAGCACTATCAATACTATGGCACAGCAATATGATATAATACAAATATTCAGTAACAATTACTATTAAACTACTAACAAATACTATTTTTCTGCCATGTAATTCATAAGTCTAATTAATTTACGTATGTCAAGCAATGCTTGTCATATTAGTGAATGGCGTTGGGCATTTTACAGCAATCACGTCTTATCCAATCAAAATGTAGAGCTGGAACTGTCAAAAGAAACAATAAGTGTAACTATTATAAAACAAATATATCTTTAATTGTTATGTAATTGCCAGCAGTTTCCTAATACACGTGATGAGGTGCTTTGGTTATTAACTACAGAGATGCTGATTCCGACATCAATTATAAAAGCTGTTGTTTTCAGTACACCTCGTATGAATCGTGACACCATCTGCCAATAAAGATGGAACATGAGCACCGCAAAACTGGAAAAATCTGGTTGCACATGATTTTGGGTTATTTGTTGCGATTGCCTGTCTGTCTCCTGTGGAATTAGTAGGTATCTGCAATGTGAAACCTGCACTGCAAAAGCTGTCAGACGTAGTTCCAGAAGTGCCAGTATTATCGGTCATAATGGGCTAATGCAGCGCTTAGCAACAGGCAGTATGACGATGTGACTGGTTTTCAAATAAGGCTGTAAGTCACCATTCTCCTGCTGACAACATGAGCATGCTGTACAGGTTTCTGAGCAAATACACCACAGTACCTCAACAACAAAACAACATGCAACTAATTATTCATGTTTCATTTTTACAGCCTCTATGGCCTAAGGAAACAATGACAGACAACAGACAGCCGGTTTCAGTTTTCTTAGCCCTGTACAGCCTGACATATGAAATAATAGTCCGAAAAATCGAATTATTTGGAATAGGACCAGTTTATTGATTATTGTTGATTGACAGTTAATTGCATTAGCATTTACGGCTCATATTGTGCTATAATGAGAATATTGAAAACAGCAAAACTGGAGGCCAAACTGAGCAAAACATACAGTGTGGTTCAGTTGCTGATATTTATATGACCAAAAAGTAAGATGAAATTCTGATAGCTTGTAATCAATGAGATCTTTATAACAGTATAGCAGACTACTTGCAAAAAATGGTAATAAATATCAGATGTCACTCTATATCTCCCAATGATCCGTCTTAGTAAGATATTTAAATTATATTTAATATTTAAATTCATTGACTTTTCTATAAAAAAAAAAAAAATATGTATGGATAATGAATTGAAGTTGCTTTTTGAATCTTGAAATATTACTAACAATATAAAAGTTATTCTTTTGTTTACTTAATAGAAATCAGTAAAGATGTCACAGCAAAACGACACGTAAACCATGACCTGAAGGGGGACGTTTTTACAATGATACTAAAAGTACTTGTTAAAAAGGTATAAACTATCAACTACGACAGAATGCACAGCAGGTTTTTCATGCTTTCATGTTTTGATCATGTTGATAATTCAGAGGCCTTAGAAATTTGCGCATGAAATAATTGTAATGCTGTTCAGCCATCTGTGTTTGCTGTTATTCCATGCATCTAGACTATTTGTTTTGCAAAAATATCTCCTAAAATCTCAATCTAACAACTAGGCTAAACAATATTAAATTGCACAATGCACATGAAGTATTTTAAAATAATAATTAAAATGTCAGCATGAATTTGGCCTATTTACTTTCCTAACACATGTTTCTGGCCATATTGTGCATGACTTATTGCTGCACATTATTCCAAATAAAAAAATGCTTTGGAAACTGCATCATTTCATGATGACTTTAGCAGTATGCAAAGCACTCGGTTATGTTGTGGTCCTTTAGAAGTGCCTAAACTTTTACGGGGAAGTAAACAATTTAATCAAGAACATTGTGTTTTATATGATTCAGTCTTATGCGAATGCTAGGAAAATGAAGCAACCAAATCACCCATATGCTGCTACATCCTTACAGCATAATCACCATCAAGCTGTAATATGCCATTAGAAGAGTACAACAAAATTATTTGTTCTATTTAATTCCTCGAAACCTTGTCACAACAATGGATTACTTCATGAATGCTAAATTACACCTCTCTGCCTCATGAGGATACGGCACCTTTCAGCGATTAAAACAGAAAACCTCCAGCTCCAGCAGATGCTTCTGACTCAACATCTTAATTTGCCATCATTCTAAAGAAAGAAGATGTACTAACTATTGTTAACTGCTCCCTGCAGACTGGATTTTTAGTGCCTTAAAAGTGCCACGCTGCAGTCGACAGGAAAGCAAGCTGGATTTTTCGGTTCCAAAGAAATTCTCACCTAATATTCATAATTATTTTGCAAAATGCATGGACTAAAATGACTCTGAAATCTCGGTGAGCACAAGAAAAACAACGGTTTTAGTTTCTCTGGTCGCAGCTGCTGTGGGGCCTGTTGGCACGGCACATCCTTAATATTCTTATCCTAATTTAGATCAGTCTACTGATCAGCAAAATACAGCATGTCTAAATGAACACCTGTTAGAAACCAGACAGATCACATCAGAGCTGTTCCAGCACAGGACGGGCGGCCCTAAACAATTAAACAGGAAGTCTGCCATTTAGACTTGCATAGCATCTAACTGATATTCTGTTATAAAATGAAGCAAAGAAGGTTATATCCTTTTAAAACTTTAACACTGATGGCATGTTAATTATAGTTTTTTCTTTTCTTTTTTTTTTTAATCTATATTTGAGACATAACACTGAGCCAAAATCATACACGTTGCATTGTCCCACAATAACACCAGACTGGAAAGAAAGATTTAATTGTTTATTTTAATTAATTTAAATTAAATTTCGATGTCATTATTTATTTAGATTTACTTATATAAAATACAAATATATAATATAAAATACATTTACTTTATAATTATATAATTTTACACATTTATTATATAATTATATTTTATAAAAATATTTTTTTATTTTATAATTATACACATCATTTATTTATTTATATTTACTTATAGTTATATTTACTTATATATGTTAT